CACAAAGACACACAAAGTGTCCACAAAGACACAAAGTGTTCACAAAGACACACATAGTGTCCACAAAGACATACAAAGTGTCCACAAAGTGTCCACAATGAGACACAAAATGACTGAACAGAGAAGCTAAAGGGAAGGTCTAGAGAATAAACCGTGCTTCTTTGTTCAGGGCCTCGGGGCCGGGGTGTGTTTGTTTCTTTGCATCATGACACACGACTCACACCATACTGTTCACTGTTCACCCTGCTGCTGTCTGCAAAGAGATGCACACTGAACCAGCAGACTTCAGATCAGCTTCAGACCTCTGGTTGTGAGACTCCTAAAATCATCCTCCGCCCGATAATACACGTAGGTGTGTTTGTGATGTAGCAAAATGCGACTGCAATCTGCATTTGGTTGACAATAAAACAACCTTGTAACCTTGAGAGGAGCAGAAGTATAAAGTAACACAAAGTATTCCAACAGCTAAACTGTGATTTTTAAGTTCCTAAAGGTTTGTTTTTACACAGGAAACAGTAATACCAAAGGGACTCTGTTGTCCACTGGGTGTGGGAAGTTAAAGCTAAGCTGCATGACGTTCAGTGCAAAAACAAACACACCCACCACAACCAATGTTGTCCTTGAGGGCCGGGTCCCAGGAGCCCCCAGCTTCTTCTGATCATGTGTGGATCAGATGAAGACCTGCATGTTGACCCAGTCAGTCCTGATCCAGGGAGCAGCTTCAGGTAGAAACATTCACTCACAGTAAGATCAACACCATGAGAATGATCCTTTAACACACCTTTAAATAGATGATGTGAACTCTAAGGAGCCTAAAGCACTGAACTCAACCTGCCCTCTTGTTTCTCTTTCCCTCCCCAACAGGTATCCTGATAGAGCTCCATTAAAACACACCAGTGTCCCTTCATCACCATCATCATCATCATCATCATCACACTGTACTCATTCTGACTCAATCACACATAATGTGAACTATGGATGAGGTCAAGGAGGATTTCTCATTGTTTGTGTTTGACCGTAAAGCGTCGTGTTACGTCTAAATAAGTCCCCAAACCCGGTTAAACGCCGACTAATCCTGGTAAATATTAACCGAGTCTGGTGGAAGAACCACAGATAACTTATCACGGAATAAACACTCGTCCCTGAGGCGACATCTCTTTACTTTCCATGAGGATTATATATCATGAAGATACGCTGAACGCTGGCTGAACTTCATGTGTTTCTATAAAAACTAAAGAGAGCAAACGGGACGAGTTGGCAGGAAAACGTAAGCACTATTTGTTTTGTCGGGTTGGATCAGAGATGTGTTCAGGTGGCTGTTCTCAGTGTCCAGCTGCTCCAGTAGTTACGGTGCGTTCACTGTTATCTCAGTAAACAGAAAGCATGTCTACAGTAACATGTACTGTGTTCAGAAGCTTTAAGTGGATGTTTGAGAAGAAACTGGTGTCTCACATGAGGGGAAGTGGTGGAAGAAAAGTACTCTTTACTGCAGTAACAGTACCACACTGTGAAAATACCTCAGTAAAAGTATGTAAGTATATGTAATCAGGAAATATGATCAACAGATCTGGTATTATATAAATGTAGTGCAGTCAAAAGTACAATATCTCCCTCTGAGATGGAGTAGAAGTACAACGTTGTAAAGTACTTCTATGAAACCAAACTAGCGTTGGGAGTTCCCACAGCTCTGCTCACTAATCCTCATCTGCTCGTCTTTCTCAGGGACTGGACCCTGGCAGCGCTGTCACATGACACCAAAGCTCCTCCACAGCATCTCCTCACGTGTTGCCTTCAAGTCCTCCTCGGAAAAAAATGAGCTCTCAGTTTCTCTGGTTGACCCTTTAGAAAACCTCTCATTTTACTGCAGCAGGTCTGACAGTCTGAACCCTCTCAGTCCTGGTTCTGGTTCTCCCGTGCCTCCCTTCCCTCCAGCGGGTCCAGCAATACGTCCTGGGTCTCCAGCAGAGAGGTGTCGGGTCTGTCCACGGTGGAGCGGTTTCTGCTGGAGGATCTGGGACTGGTTCATATAGAGGACCAGGACTACACTGACTGGTTCAGGACCAGGTAAAGGTTCCTTGTGTGGTCTCCCTCTTAAGTTGTGTAAAACAGACGACCACGGTGGATAAAGCGTTTGAGATGAGACGAGGAGGAGAACATGCTGAAGATCGTATAGATCAGAACAGGACGGTCGGCCTTGTCATACTGCATTTTATTGTATGTTGTATTTGTTGTAATGTTTTTTTGATGCAGCTTTAATGAGATGAAAACATCCACAGCAGTAAAATACAACGTACACATTAATGCAGCAGTAATACTAACCCAGAAACAGTTTACTGCACTATCAACACTCAACACAATAATCAATAAAGTATCAATACTTGAAACACTTTAACTACATTTAGCTGACAATACTTACATACTAATATTTAAGTAAAGGTTTGAATATTTTCACTAGTACTTTTACTGCAGTAAAGGATCTGAATACTTCTTGTACCTCTGTTAAAAACAGACAGATACATGTGGATGAAAGTTTATGGGAGCATTTCCACCAGCAAAAAATAATTTAAAAAAAAAAGATGTACTTATATTTGATAATAAAAATATCCCCATGGTAACTCAACATTACGAGATAAAACGTCATCATTGTAATTTCTTCTTTCATATAAAGTACCTGAGGAGGATTATTCTGCATGTTCCCTTCCCTTTCTCCCTCTCTTTGTTTCGCAACTCATTTTTCCAGCAGCCCCTGAAGGAGGCGCACGCGCACGCGCACACACACACACACACACACACACACACTCTCTCTCATTCATTCTTTAACCGGACCGGAGAGCAGCGCGAGACGTTCACGCATCAACCGAAGAGGATATTAAAATAGCATCACGTCACCGTAAGTAACGTCCGCACATGTAGAGGCTTCTTCTTCTGCTTCTTGTTTGTTGGTGTGATAACGTGAAGCATGTCCGCTCCTCAGCTTCCGGGTTGTTTCCCGTCTTTTGTGCACACGGCACCGAGCTTGGTGCAGAGCGCACAACACCAGCGTGTTCCTGTTTACCTCCACCGAGTGTTTCTGCTCCGGGATCACACGCAGACACGCGTGGCCGGTTGTACCGCCGGGAGAAGGGTTTTAATACGTTCATGGCGTGATATTATTATTATTAAACTGTAGAAAGGCGGCGCGTGGGCAGCAGCACGAGGGCCCGAAGCCACCTGGCTCGCGCCATCTGTCAGCATCGGAGCTCTAAACCGAGCCGAGGAGGTGAGAACCGTCACGAGCTAATCCTGCACATTAAACACTGTACAGTGTACATGCATTGTTCATTAATAACGATGAGCTGATTGGTGTATTGTTAACGATCTGTCTAATGTTGCTAAAATAAACATCCGGGACCTCCAGCTAGTTCTGTTCTAACTCTGCACCAGAGACCAGACCTCGTTCAGAAACATGTGAGTTTAACATCTCTTCACATAAAGAGATGTGTTTAATATTAAATCACATAAAGAGGAGGATCCATGTGTTTAATATTAAATCACATAAAGAGGAGGGTCCATGTGTTTAATATTAAATCACATAAAGAGGAGGGTCCATGTGTTTAATATTAAATCACATAAAGAGGAGGATCCATGTGTTTAATATTAAATCACATAAAGAGGGTCCATCAGAAACATGTGTTTAATATTAAATCACATAAAGAGGAGGATCCATCAGAAACATGTTTAATATTAAATCACATAAAGAGGAGGGTCCATCAGAAACACACTGATGTTTGTAACCCAGCAGTGAGCAGCTGCTCTTCAGTTCGACATTGTTTCCTGTTTGTATCTAAAGATGGAATAAGTTAGTTACCATATGTAGCTATTTTAATACTTCATCAACATAATGTAACTCGTTACATTTGTAACAAATGTAATAAACTAATCCTGCACATTTAATATATACCGTTTCATGTACTTATGTACAATACATCATATTTGATATGCACATTGTAGCTTTTATCTGCAGAACTAACGACTACCCACAGCTGTCAAATGTGTGTCGTCTGTAAAAAGTACTAGTTCATGCCGTGTGGTGGAGTATAAAGTAGCATCAAATATAAAGTACAAGTACCTCAAAGTTTCACTTCAAGTGTTTTTGAAAATCGATACCGTACCCTAAGACATAGTGATGCAATACTCTAGTGTTTTGATATCTTCTTACACCCCAGGTTGTCATCTTGTTTGTAAATATAAACTGTAAATATGATTTATTCTCTTTTTATTCTTTAGTCTCAGTTTCTCTTCTCAGTCCACAGTTTTCTGTTTGAACTGGAGCTCAGAATGATGAGTTGGTTAATTAATTATTGACAAAAGAATCGATGGTAAAACACGACCTCGTTTTCACTGCATGAGTTTGAGGCTTTGTTGTTTTTGGGTTCTTAACGGCGAGTCAAGAGACACTTTAGAACTACTCAACATGAAGTGTTCCAGGTATCTGATTCACTGTGGGAGCTTGTTCACGGTGTTATTGAATATGTATCAGTCACAGTCTGTTTACTTCCAGCAGAACACACCAACAACCAAACTACACAAATGTTCTCATTTAAGGATCGTGAGAAGATTGTGATTTCGTCAGTTCTTGATTTATTCTAAATGTGCCTCCGTGTGCTGTAGATGAAGTTCACTGTGTTATAAAGCAGTGAATGTTTAGTATTTCTGCTTGACAAAGGATGAGTTGCAGACTAATTGGTTCTGCCCTTAATATTTGTCACACTACGTCTTGTTTTTGTTATAAAAATGTGACTTTTAAACAAGTTGTCATGTTTCAAACACTAACAGATGTTCTTGTTTTCTCGGCAGAGAGGATGTTGGCGTTGATGTTGCTCGTCGCCGTGAGTTTGTCCGGCGGCGGCGGGACGTCCGGCTCTGACTGCGGCCCGTCCACCGCGCAGTCGACCGGTGCGGTGCGTTCACTGTCGGCTGTGGTCGACTCGCAGAGAGCCGAGCAGAGCCAGAGGAAACACCTGGAGGCTCTGTTCAACAGGTGAGCTCGTGTCAACACACCGGACCGTAGACAACTTCACCGTTAGCTCTGTCTGCTCTGATTTACGTGATTAAAATGACAACAAATCCCCATTCTGAAGGAATCCCTTGAAGCTTTTGGTAGGATGTAGATATTCCAGTAAGTTAAACGGTTCCGCGGTCACTTGTTCAAAGACTGATGTTATTGTTTGAATGAAACTGAACAGATATGGAGAAAACGGCACCATCTCTCTGGCCGGTTTGAAGCGTCTCCTACAGAATGTGGGGTTGGATCGCATCAGGACTGTTATGGTGCAACATCACGAGCAACCGGGCCACCATCATAACCACCATCACCACCACCATCAACACCAGGGAGGCCACCACCTCCACGAAGACCACCACAACAACTCGCACCCCCACAAACATGCCGACCCTTCACAGCACAGGAAGTTTCCAAAGACCTCTGAGGTCTCCAAAGACCAGGACAGCCACCACAACCTGCACGACAAGAAGACCACGGCGGCGCAGGAGGTCGGCATCACGGCGGTGTACAGTGCCCAGCTGATGGCGAGATCAGATGGAGTCAATAAGAGACTAGACGGCAGCCTGGGACCACCTGGTCCTACTGGGGGGGAAACCACCAGAGCGTCTGCTGCCAGACTGGTCACTGAGAGCCAGACTCAGGCAGCTGCAGTCAGCAGGGGGGACCAAGACCACGGGCACGACCACATGAACCAGGATGTTCCCCACAACAGAAGTGTGGACAGTGTGGAGGTACGACAAACTGCTTAACTCATCAGTGTTCAAATAATGAAATCAGGGTATGAATAGTGGTTTAATGGACCGTACTGGATCCCTGATCTGTACTGACCGCCTCACAGTTTATCGTTAACATCACAGTGTGAAATAAAGTTTTACTGACGATCGTTCTCCAATATTCAGTAATATTCAATATTTGGTTAATGCAGAAATAAACTGAATAGGTTTTATTTCTATTGAAAAGAAGAAGAAGAAGAAGAAGAAGAAGCAAAGCGTCGGTGGTAATTAGTGAACTCTGTGTGATCCAGCACCACTAGGACCTACAGTGACTTTTCATATACGTACCGTTGTCTCCTGAATGAGTCCCGTTGTTGTTTTACCTCCAGTGTCAGAACGCCTCCAGCATCTTGTCGTCACACGGGATGTCTCAGGAGGGGGGGGTGATGCTCGCCGACTTCAGCTTCCTCTGCCCCGCCCTCCTCAGCCAGATAGACGGCGGCGCGTGCATCCTGCACGGAGGCCCTGCAGAACACGAGGGGGGAGGTACGAGTCCGTCTGTTCAAACTAACACTGATGTTCACGTGTCATGTACAGTTGTGTGAAAAAGTGTTTGCCCCCTTCCTGATTTCTTATTTTTTTGCATGTTTGTCACACTTAAATGTTTCAGATTATCAAACAAATTTAAATATTAGACAAAGATAACACAAGTAAACACAAAATGCAGTTTTTAAATGAAGGTTTTTATTATTAAGGGGGAAAAAATCCAAACCTACATGGCCCTGTGTGAAAAAGTGATTGCCCCCTAAACCTAATAACTGGTTGGGCCACCCTTAGCAGCAACAACTG